GAACACTAGGAGTGGCCAAAGCAACAATTTAATACATTCTTAGAAAAAAAGAATGCACTAGTGAACTCTGTAACTGTCTTACCTTGAGGAGGAGTCCGACACGCAGAGTTAAAGCACCCTTTGCAATTTGACACAAGCCAAGGGGACTCAAGGCAGAAATCCCCAAGGCTGTGAAATGGTGCACTGGGGCTGATAAGGCACAGTGCTTCCAGAAACGCAGTACAGACAAGGGTAATCCAAAAGAGTAGTCGTGGTCATAATCAATGGTCAGGACAGGTGGAAAAGAGACAGAAACGGAAGACGGGCAGAGTATCAAACCAGGAGTTAGACGTACAGCAATGATTTTCAAACAGGAACAAACTATCTGACAATGAGTCAAAAGCAAGGCAGGGTTTACATAGGCTGATAATAACCACTTATCTGGAAACCAGAAACAGGTGTGCAGCGGTTCTGGAGTAAAGACTCAGACAACAGGATACAAGGAGAAACTTGAAGCAACAAACGATGCGTGGAGCCCAAGGTAAGGTCACTGAATGGGATGAAGAGAATCCAGGGTCAATCCCAGCCAGGCTCAAATACACAATTCTGCATATGGCATGAGGATGATTATGAAATCAACACAAAAAGGCCTGAACATCAATGGAAAGTAACAGTGGTGGATGATTGTTGGATCTTTTCCATAGTAAAGAAAAACCCCTTCCCAACATCCAGCCAAGGAAATGACACTTTCCAGACACAACATTATACAACTCTACCATAAAGTGAAGACTTAACAAGAGCAGCTACAGAGGGTTAACCACTAGGTGCAAACCATTTATAAATCTCAAGAATTGAAAGGCCAAATTACACTTTATCAAAAAACATCTAAAAAAGCCAGCCCAGTTCTGGAACAGCATTCTTTGTACAGATGAAAATAAGATCAACCTGTAGCAGAATAATGAGGGGGGAAAAAAGTATGTAGAAGGCTTGGATGGCTCATGATCATGATGTAAAACACAGTGAAGGCAGTGTGATGGCATGGACATGCATGGCTTCCAATGGCACTGGGTCACTAGTGTTTATTGATTATGACAGAGGACAAAAGCAGCCAGATGATTTCTGAAGTGTATATGGATATATTGTCTACTTGGATTCAGTCAAATTCAGCGAAGTTGATTGGACAGTGTGCAGGGGAGGGCTGGCAGCCTTAGGCGTGGGGGGCAAATCAGTCCAGTGGCCCATTGCACCAAGAGGAGAGTAAAAGGGGGGGGGGGGCAGTCACCTAAACAGACACTCAATAACAGGCACACACACACACACACTTGCTGATTTGGCACACACTTAAAAAACACACACTCACTGACAGGCACACACACACACACACAGGCATACTGGCTGACACACACACACAAACTGGCACACACATAGACAGACATACTGACACACACACACACACAAACTTTACACTTTTAAAACCAGTAGACAGGGGCTGAGTAAAGGGACAGGGCTGTAGTGGGGGACAGGGGCTGTAGTGGAGGGTATAAGCTGTAATTGGGGGTTTAGGAAATGTAGGGGGGGATAGGGGCTGAAGTAGGTTAATTGTTTACAATTTGGGAAAGGGGCTGTGGTGTGGGTGATATGGGTTGCAATTGAGGGAGAGTAGTGGGAATGCTATGGGGCTGTAGTGGAGGGCATGGGGCTGAGGAAGGGGGCAAGAGCTGAGGGGGGAAAGGAGCAGGGGAAGGGTGTGACAGGGGCTGAGGAAGGGGACAGGGGCTGAGGACGGGGACAGGGGCTGAGGCAGGGTGACAGGGGCTGACTAAGGGGACAGGGCTGAGGAGGGGGGACAGGGGCTGAGTAAGGGTGACAGGGCTGAGGAAGGGTGACAGGGGCTGAGGAGGGGACAGGGCTGACTAAGGGACAGGGCTGAGGAGGGAGGACAGGGCCTGACTAAGGGGACAGGGCTGACTAAGGGGACAGGGCTGACTAAGGGGACAGGGCTGAGGAGGGGGGACAGGGGCTGACCAAGGGGACAGGGCTGAGGAGGGGGGACAGGGGCTGACCAAGGGGACAGGGCTGAGGAGGGGGGGGACAGGGGCTGACTAAGGGGACAGGGCTGAGGAAGGGTGATACAAACATAGAATGTGACGGCAGATAAGAACCATTCGGACCATCTAGTCTGCCTAATTTTCTAAATACTTTCATTAGTCCCTAGCCTTATCTTATAGTTAGGACTTATGCCTATCCCATGCATTCTTAAACTCCTTTACTGTGACTAAGGGGACAGGGCTGAGGAGGGGGGACACAGGCTGACTAAGGGGACACGGGCTGACTAGGGGGACATGGGCTGACTAGGGGGACAGGGGCTGACTAGGGACAGGGGCTGAGGTAGGGGACAGGGGCTGACTAAGGGTACAGGGGCTGAGGAGGGGGGACAGGGGCTGACTAAGGGTACAGGGGCTGAGGAGGGGGGACAGGGGTTGACTAAGGGTACAGGGGCTGAGGAAGGGGACAGGGGCTGAGGAGGGGAATAAATAAAAACTAAAGTGTATTTCCCCCCTCCCTGAGTCTTACCTTAGGCCAGAAAGGGGTGGGCAGCAGCCAGCAGGAGCAGCAACCAGCATACAGCAGCAGCAAGTGAAGTTGGCCTCTCCTGATGATGTCAGGAGGAGGGGGCGTGACTTCCTCTGCTCTTCTCCCAGACTCCCCAGCGGTCCTGTGAGAAGAGCTGTGGAAGTCACGCCCCCTCCTCCTGACATCATCAGGAGCGGCTGGCCAACTCCAGTGGCTGCAGGCTGCAGGGAGAGAGGTAAGTTGAAAAATCTGAGTCTTCAGCCAGAGGCAGGGGATTCAGACTTTTCATTCATTTTTTTTTGCTGGATGCGGGTGGCCCTGGGTTTAGGGCGGCCTGGGGCGCAATTGCCTCCCTGCCCCCCTCCCCAGCCTGCCCCTGACAGTGTGTCACTTTAGAGATGGACAATGAACCAAGGCATACTTCGAAAGCAACCCAAGATGTTTTTAAGACAAATAAGTGAAATATTCTGCAATAGCTGAGTCAATAATCCGGTCTCAACCTGATTGAGCATGCATTTCACATGCTGAAGATAAAATGTAAGTCTGAACAAACAATAGTTGAAGATAGCTGCAGTAAAGGCATGGCAAAGCATCACAAGGGAGGAAATCTGGGATTTGGTGATGTCCATGCATTCCAGACTTCAGGCAGTCAGTGCTTGAAAGGATTCTCAACAAAGTACTAAATATTAGCATTTTATTTATGATTGTGTTATTTTTTTCAATAAACATTTCAATCCCCTGAAATAAGAGGACGGTGTATGAAATGTCCTTAACTATTCATACAAAAATTTTGTTCAACCCCTTAATTAAAGCTGGAAGTCTGCACTTAATTGCATCTCGTTATTTCATTTCATTGTTGTGGCATACTGAGCCACAATCATGAAAATTATGTCAGTGTCCAAATAATTCCAGACCTAACTGTATATAGGTGGAATTATGAGTAGATTAAATATATCAGGTGTACCTTGCAGCACTTAAGGTAACGCAGTCTCTTGAAACGCTGTCTGGTGCTGCAGGTGACTATAGTTCCCAGGAGCCATTCTGAGAGTTGGCTGGTTACTTGACTTGTGTTTAAGGAACTGAGGCTTGCAGCTGTTAAGGAAATGTAGTCTCTTGAAATGCTGCTTGTCATGAATATAGGGACAATTTTAGGTGATGATTAAGTCAATATATGCAGGAGGGGCCATACAATTTACCCTTCGGTTGAAGCCTCTGGTCTTTCTGCCACCTAGCAACTCCCATAACTAATCAAATGAAAATTTAACAAAGGAGATTTTGAAATCACATGAAAATGTAGATTTAGCTGCCTATAGCCATTGTTTTATCCAATTCTGTAGAGGTTTTATTATTATAAAGGAATGAATGATTTTACGGTACTATATTCTTATACTTTTTTTCTATCTTTTGGATCAACAGCATACATATCATGTACGAACGTGTGACCTTGATGGTCATTTATAACTTTTATCACTATGTAACTGCATAGTTACTTAACTTTACTCTGCAAATTTCTTACTCCAATCTTTAGATTATATAAACTGGGTTCCCTAGATAGCTAACTATCCTAATGTCCCTTTAACATTTCAACCCTCCATCTCATCACCATTCCCTCTCCCTTTCTACTCTTTCTTTCTTGTTATTCTACTAAATTCCATTCTATTTTTCTCTCTGCAAGGGTAATCCTAAATTTTATTATTATTAGATTAATGGTAGTACATCTCAGTATTTTCATCTCTATAGTTTTGTTTTTCTTAAAGGACCACTCTAGGCACCCAGACCACTTCAGCTTAATGAAGTGGTCTGGGTGCCAGGTCTCTCTAGGATTAACCCTTTTTTTTATAAACATAGCAGTTTCAGAGAAACTGCTATGTTTATAAATGTGTTAATCCAGCCTCTAAAGCCTCTAGTGGCTGTCTCATTGACAGCCGCTAGAGGCGTTTGCGTGCTTCTCACTGTGAAAATCACAGTGAGAAGACGCCAGCGTCCATAGGAAAGCATTATGAATGCTTTCCTATGAGACTGGCTGAATGCGCGCGCAGCTCCTGACGCGCATGCGCATTCAGCCGGAGAGGAGGAAAAAAAGGGTAAGATTTAACCCTTTCCTCGCCATCCAGCCCGGCGGGAGGGGGTCCCTGAGGGTGGGGGCACCCTCAGGGCACTATAGTGCCAGGAAAACTAGTTATCCTGGCACTATAGTGGTCCTTTAATGTTATTGTGTTTATATGTACAGTACAAATTTATATTATTTAAAAATGATTCAATAAAGTGATTATTAAAGTGTATCATTACAACTTTATGACTGTATTATAAAGATAACATCAACTTACCAGCAGGTTGTTTATAAAATAATGTTGACACTGCATGTTTTAAGTCACTTACAGAATTCTTACGATTATTAGTATATTTTTTCACCATTATTCTATTACAGTAATCTTTTCTTTGTTTTTTCAGAATTTATCTCAATGGCTGCATTCTTTCCAGATCAGGAGATTTCAATTGACCTTAATGAGAAAAACTCAAATGTAAAAAGTCAAGAGCATGTACCAACCAAAAAAACAATCAAGGATGCACATCTTGTAAGTACCACCACTGGTGGCATGGAGAATTCGTGCCACAGCTGCATGCTGGGCTTAGGAATTATAACTTTTTTGATTGGTATGTCAACATCAATCCTTGCTTGTGCAATAAACCCTCTAGATTCAGTTCCCTTTGTTTTGGGGGTTTCTATTCTGGCGATTGGTGTTTCTTCAATCATGTTAAGCTGCATTTGGAGAAGATACAAGAGAAAAAAGAAGGCAAAGAGAAATGAAGACCTAGCCGTATTGTGTTATGAGTATAAGGAGAAAAAGATCAGAATATAAATACGTTGTCCAAAACTACAACAAAATGTGTTGCATAACAGAACTTATACCTGTAAAAGAATCCATTGTTTCCCAAATATTATCAGGGAACCCACATTGGTCTGCTTTGCATGTTTTTTTTTAACTTGTATTATTTATTCAGTTTCTGAAAAAGCAAGTACAATGAAATTGTAACCTACAATTCAAGGAATCAGGACATCAGCAAAAATTACATACTACATAAGGTGTTTGCATTTAGTTATCTTCAATTATTTTGTTCATCCTCTTGAAAAAGCTGGCTATGCTATGAGCTCCATAATGAAATGGAAAAGAGGTAAGCTTATGGTATGCGAGTGAATAATTTAGCCAAATTATACCAATACAAAAAATAATTACAATCCAAAAGAGAAGCTATGAGAATAGAAAAAAAGATCAATTATCTTGATCTTCTTCCTGCTCAAATCTCTAACACAATTAAGCTCAAACTTGCCTTTAGAGAACCTATACTATTTGCATATAGGCCTTATCCTACTAATAATGACAAGCCAGAACTGAAATGCCAACAAGTCCTCTATGCACAAGAAATCAAGAAAAACTCGTCATATTATTTTAGCCTTCTTTGGATATCTTCAGCAAGGCACAGCATGGGGTCTATGCCTGGATTACTCTTTTCACTTACAAATGCATATTGATGAGATGGTATTATTCTGACATTTTGACTGAGGAAAATAGTATTTAACAGATAAATTCAATATACTCAAAATTAATACATTTAAAAAAAAATACACAGTATTATCAGTCTCTGATTTCTGTGAACATATGTTGTCAGTATATAAATATTATTACACAGAAAAAAAAAAAAAACTGGCGTGATACTAATTTAATAAACTAAGTCATTAGATTTTAAAATTTGAGAAAAGTAAAATAAGGAATGATTCGGGATTTCTTGAAAGTTCACATTTAGTTACATGCTGAAATGCCAAAGTGTAATTTTAAATTGAAACTACAAACTAATTTTGTTTATTCACTATATGACACCATAATGAGAGATTTTTGAGCAGACAGAGGCCTAAAAAATGCACCAGACATCAGCTGATGGACATATACTGTCAACAGGGAAAATGCCAACACTGTTGGTTTTCAGTATAAAGTCCAAAATTAAAAAGGCTTCATGCTACACCAACAGAGAAATAAAAAAAGGAAGGCTCCTAAGTAAAATATGAGTCTAACATGTTTCGTGTTTATAGGCTTCAAAGCAAAACTACCCAATGTTTAGCAAATAAATTTCTCAAATAGCAGAAATTAATATATTAAGTAAATGTAGGAAAAAAAATGGACAAAATCTAGAGTATTCTATGTGAGCACCATATACAAGGTTCCATAAACATACAGGATAAACAAATGTTCACTTAAAAGCGTAATTTTTGTGATTTCTCTGTTGGTGTTATTTATCTGTTTGGATATTATATTTTGTGATGTTATGTTGAAAACAAGCAGCATTGGCATTTATTCTGCTGTTAGTGTATGTTCGTTATCCAGCAATTAACTGAGCTCTGTACATCTCCCTGGGTCCCAGTGATTGTCTCAATAAAAGCTAATTGTATGGAGAATGTGACTCATTTGGGCATTTTTGTTTAAAGAGCTTTATATCTGTATCAGACAGAGGTCAAATCTACTAATATAATTGATCAAAAAAGTACATTAATTATATTTGTTCTATTCAGCAACATTTTTTTCATTTCAATCTATTAACGTATTTGAAAATGGATGTAGCATTGTTGTTAATGTTCTACTAAATTGGTATACTGTCCTTCTGCAATGCTTATTTTATTATAATTGTTTGTATAATTAAAAATCTTTTTATGGTTTCTAACAATAGGTATAGTTATTGTTATTATTTTGAGAAATATTATTATCTTGAGGGTCTTCTTATACCATCACTGTTAATAATCAGCTTTTTTGTTCCAATTCATTTGCACCCTGTAAGCAGGTTAAATTTTTTTTGTTAGCAGGTTGAATTTTCTGTCAAATGTAAATTTACAATTTCTTTTTTTATATATATATATATATATGTGTGTGTGTTGGGTTTCAATAAAAGGCCCTATTTGTATCCTTGTTATTCTTCTTCTTCTTCTTCTTATTATTATTATTATAACGGAGCTTCCTGTACTCCGGTTGGGTACCTCTGCCGACAGATGCTCCAAGTGCTCACCGAGGGCTCCAAGCACTCCAGACACCATAAGCACTGAATACCAATGCAGGTTTCCCAAATAGGGTGACGCCCAGGTGGACCTTGTTGGGCACAGGGACACAAAGTGTACAAACCAATGAAAACAAAGTGACAATGAATGACACTCCCACATACAGTACACAATCCCTCCCCTCTGCCTGAGATATAATTATGGTATAATTAATTAATTAATAAATATAATTAATTTTACAAAGTGCAATAAGTACCCCAAAATACAACATATCCCCATAGTCACATCCCCTGATAGCTCTGATCTGGGTGAACAACATATCCACAAATCACCCAGATCAGAGCAGGGGTTCAGGAAATTCCTGGAAGTCTCTTTTTGACCGACCGCACGTATGGCTTCATGCCCAAAATAGTTCCAGAGAATTAGGCTGTGCGGCTGGTCCATTCAAACAGTTGAAGTCACATTCAAATAGTGGAACGGAGCCGTTCGTGCACAGAGTCAGTGAATGTATCTGGTTCGGTAGATTATTTCTACCGAATGGCGCTCTGTTCGTGCAGTTCCAGTCGAATCTAACTGGAGGTGGAAGTCCCAGCGGTGTTCGTGCCGTCGAGTGTTCGATTTCAGTTCCATGTGCTTGACGACAAAACAAGATGGCCGCCGCCACTTGTTCGACTATACAAACTGCGACCACCCAGCTGTTCATCAATTAAACTGCAGTTAACCAAGCCTGGGAGGTTAACGAACATCACACTCCACTTGCGGGTGGTCCGGCTGTTCGACAGTTTTTTCGGTAATCGAACACCATAAGCCTTATCCATTCCAGAAGCCCCATATACTGAACCATAGAAGGAAAAAAGGCACGAACAGAGTTTTTAGCCCAAAGTTCACCACAGGGCCATACTCACAGGGCAGGAGGTTGCAAAAAAGGCCTCTCCAAAAACCGGTGGTGAGGTCATTTTTGCCACAATTATTATCATAATTCTTCTTATTTTTATTTTTTTGTAATACAATGTTAGCATGTACAAATATTTTTGCACCTGAATGTTATATACCATGAAAGGGCACAATGTAAAAGCTTTAGAGAGGGTCAAAAGCACAGAAAGCAATCCAAATCTCAATATTGGTAGTGGCAGAAACAGATTATGTTGTGAAGGCATAGCTCCAAACATTTCAAATGAACAACGAGGGACACTTTAATATCAGGGATACAAGTGGGGTGTGGTCAGGTGCAGGGCCGTTCTAAAAAAATGTGTATACATACAAGCAATCAAACACCAGCACAACATGCAAACACACTCCTGCAATTTAAGACAAATATTACATACCAGCACATCCCTGCATTCAAACTCCAAGATGATAAGCGGCTGATTGGAAATTCTACAAATTTCTAGATGATAGGTCCCCCCTTCAGGTTAGAAGCCCCCACTCGCGCGGCATGGGTGGGGGCTCGAGACGGGGACTTTTTTTTGGTTTAAGGGGGGGGGGACCTATTGTCCTACCCCTCCGGCCCCTACCCCACAGGCTGCTCACTGTTTAATAGACATGTCCCTAATCGCAGTATAGCAAGTAGGGGAATAATTTACTAATACTAAGTAATCTTTACTTAGTATTAGTAAATTTGGCTGAAAGACCAATTCAGGTCTTTCAGCCTTTTAGTAGATAGCTCCCTAATACCATGGGAATTAGGGAGTTATCTACTTATTCATTCCTGTCATTACATTGACTGGCTAAGTAGCTTACATTTTATATGAATGTGTGTTACTTGATTGTTGTAAGTGTTGCAAATGCTTACAGCTGAATCCTGGCTATGTTTGTATACTTTTTATTTAAAATTGTATACAGTGTAACATTCTTCATTCTTCCACTGGGTAAATATATTAGTTCTTAAGCAACTTCGGCACTTTGGCACTTCCACACTTCGAAAATTCTGTAATTTCGGAACTTCGGGACTTCCGCAATTCATCTATTCGGACATTCGGAAGTACCCGAATGTCCGAATTGCCCGAAATTCGTCCGAATTCACATTAGGACCGAAACGAATTGCACATGTCTAGATGATATACAAACACACCCATTCATTTAAACACCAATACTCAAGGGCTACAACTCTACAGTACATAGGTTAACGAGCATCACACTCCACTTGCGGGTGGTCCGGCTGTTCGACAGTTTTTTGGGTAATCGAACACCATAAGCCTACAGTACATAATTTGTTTCTGTCTTTGATGCCTTTGGTGCACCATCCATTCTTTCATTAAAAATCTGTATTTTAAATAGTATTCTATTGCTAGTTGTCCCTGTAGAAATATAGGACGAAGTCTCAAACAAGAAGCTGGACTGTGTTTCATTTGCATGTTGAGATTAGGAAGGACATGCACCACCTTAATACCACTTTTCTGTGGAATGTCCCAGTTAATGGAAGGGCATATTACCATCAAGCATCATTTACTAAATTCAGGTGCTTTGGGATAGAAGGTGAAGCATTAACCCACCTTTCATACTTTACATCCCCAAATTCCCCACTGTCTGACAATGTCCTTAATCCCCAATTAAACTAATGGCTGTTAAAAAGAATATAATTACCATCAGAAGGTTTCTTTATTTTAACCCCTTAAGGACACAGCTTCAGAAGCTGGATTAACCTTAAGGACACAAGCAATTTGTGCATATTTTTGCTGTTTGTTTTCAACCGCAATTTACATCTCATTTATTGTACCAACACATATTATATATTTTTTTTATTTATTTTGACAATCTTTATTTGTTAGTTTTTCCATATTTGTTGTACATTGTGAACAATCATAAGAAATGGTAACAAACCCAGGCTTGAACAGTGTATACCGAGTTTTAATAGTAACGTCATATCTTAGGTGGTTAGACTGCTATCAATTAGTCCCTCAACTGTTGCCCCTCTCCCTCCTGTCCCCTCAACCATGTTGTACAACTGTGTGTGATTCCTATCATACTGAACAAGGCCTCAACTTTGAAGAGAAGAAGAAAAAAAAAAAAAAGGCCCCCTCGCTTGCAGTGACTCCACTTATGCAGTGTCGCCACCTGATTGCCTACAACTCCCCACCTCGCTGTTTGCAGACGCCTCCCCCATCCGTGGTACTGCCTGTATCTTACTCGCTGTGTGCACTTAGTTGTCCTCCTTCCAATGTGACTACTTATTGGAAATTCTACAAATTTCTACAAATTTCACTGACCTATCATGTAGGGCAGCTGTTTGCTCACCCTGATCTCTTCCACCTGCTCCACCCAACTATGGAATGTTGAAGCTTTGTGCTGCCTCCACAAGAACCTAGCTGCCATCAGTAGGGGTCTTGTCAGGGACTTTTTGTATTTTGAGATGGGCATCGTCGTGTGGGCCATCGTCGTGTGGTGCAAATTCCAGGTCAGTTCCTTGTTTGTCAATGTTTTGTGTACCTGTTTCCAGAATGGCTGAAGTGTCCTGCACTCCCACCACACATGGGTCATGACTTCCCTCTCCTCTCCACACCTCCAACATAAGTCTAAGTTGCACAGTGTGTAGTTGGTCTGGTGTCACATACCATCTAGTTAGAACTTTGTAATTCGTTTCCCGAAGACTGGCGCAGTAATTTTTACTGCATTGCAGCGACAAAACCATGATATATGTTGTGCGGTCTAGGCTTTCAGTTTCTGTACCAGGATTTGCAGCAGGGGAGCAAAGATTAGGGTGTACAAGAGGGATAAGTCCCTCAGCACCTGGACTCCTAGATATTTGATGTGTGTCGTGCACCATCTGAAGGGAAAATTTTATTGTTGTCTTTCTGCGTCTTTTTCGTCTAACTTGATATTTCAAATTTCTGACTTATCTTTGTTTATCTTGAGGTTGCTCAATCTTCCATACTGTTCCAGCTCTTTGTGTATATAATGGGTAGTGAGATATGTGGTCTGGTTACCATAAACAGCATGTCATCTACGTATGCAGCAACTTTGTGTTCAAGTGCTCGGGTGTGTAGTCCCGAAATATTAGGGTTTTGGCTTACGGCCTCCAGTAGCGACTCAAGAGATAGTATGAATAAGAGTGGGGAAAAGGGGCATTCCTGCCGAGTGCCATTACTGATGCTCACAGGATCTGTCAGGGCCCCATTAACCCGGACCCTAGTGCTCGGGCCGATGTAGAGTGTTTGTACCCATGATAGAAAAGTATTGTGACAAGACCAATCTCGCCACTGTGCATTGGAGGAGCCTGGTTGCCCGCCTGCTGCCTTTAGACTATGGCCCCATGTTGAAAAGATTGATTTTCCCCTGTGAAGACACGAAAGCCGGGTCATTCGGTGCTTGCCCTGTTTGAGCGGTGATACCCCAGATAGCTATGCCATGGAGCCCATTCGTATAATGAAAGACTATGGGAAAGACTTTGGCTCCATGGCAATTAAACTGTATGTGTGTTCTCTGAGCGCCATTCAGTAATAATGTGCGCTCAGATCTGAGCTATCTGGGGATATGTATGTATGTACCTGTTTTATGCAATGGCTGCACAGTTATATATTTTTATGTATTTTATTGTCTTTTGCTGCCATGTGTTCAATGGAGTTTTGCATCTGTCCTTGGAGATAATTGGATTACTTCCCAATTATCTCCAGGATAGAAGACTCTGTGGAACTGGTTTTGGGCAGAAAAGCCATGCTTCATTTGGTCACAAAGGACTACGATCTATCTTTTGAACCACTGGACCAATTTGTATGATTTTGACGTATTTGTATTTGGAGTATGCTGATTCTGAAAATGTAAGAATGTGATGCATACTTTTCAAGTTATGAATAATGTGGAAAAACTATTTCTCTGCCTGTGATAACTGCATTACCCATTGTGTAAGGTAATTGTATCCAGGGCCGGCGCGTCCATAAG